GGAACTCTGCTCTGTGGCTTGCATGTACCACGTAATGGCCATAGCCACCAAAACCACCACCACCACTTACCACTGTGGGAGTGGAAATGTGTAACAAGTTCTTCCTACCCAGATGGGCAAGTACATCTCTCCATTTCCTTCTGGCTCTGTTAGCATGGGACATACAAGGTCAAGACTGAAATGTAAGGGCCAAGTAATCACTAAGTCGGGGAAATCAACCAAGTCTCCTCCCCAGTCTGGACACTCCCAGGTCTCTCCAGCAGTAACTCAACAGGCTACTCTAACAAACCACAGACAGGTATCAGTAACCTAAGCTATTCATGCAAGTTAAACCATGGAGAGCTACATACACACATAGATACATGTTACTAGGAACCTGCCAGTGGAGTCAATGAGCAATTACAAAAATGAATCATTATGTATAGATAGATGCCTATCAGAAGGATAACATTTTTGGTTGCAATAAAAAACAACACTAAACCACTTCCTTCATTTGCCCCGTACTCAGGATCTGACTAAATCTGGACAGAGAGGCAGAATGATCTGATTGAATGTTGTATCTCAATAAATGGAAGTCACTTTGATGAACTCAATGTTTCTGATTCTTATCTGTCTGATTTACTGTTTCTTGAGAACGCTTCAAGACAAGACAAACAGTGCCACAAAACACTCCAACTTTAAAATCCCAGACTAGATAAGCTTTGTGGAAAGGTATTGGCCAACATTTGAAAAATGCATCATTGTTAAAGACCTGACCCCTGTGCAAAAGTTTCACCATAAAACATAAGTACAGATATGTAAGCAACAACATACCCTGCACTTACTTGCAGAAGAGAGCAAATGGAGTGGCTGGTTTTGATTTAGGTTAAATTCCTTCTCAAACACTACAATCTACTCTGGAAAAAGGCCTTCATACCTGAGTAAGACTCCTCCATGAAAGTCCTCACCCCTCAATAACAGCAAACCCCTCATAATCAACCCACAGTTTTGCGGTCCCTTTAAACTGATCTGAATGCAGATATATTGCCAGAAGAGGCGGTCTCCTTCTTAGCCCACTCTGATTTTGTCTTCCTGCTCTTTCCACTGTATTAGCAGTAGGAATTGTACAGCCCCAAAATCGGATCAAGGAACTGAACTAGCTCAAACCAGGCAATTTTGTGGCTTAAAGAAGTAGTCTGTCTTTGCTTATGCCAAAACTATATAGGCAGGGCCCTTGCTGATACAGTACATTTTCAGTTGTGAACTTTATGTGCTGAACCTATGTCTTCATTGTGTATCTGCCCGGCAGTTGGCACAGTGGGATCCAAAAGCACATCTGCAACAGTCTGCAAATAAACAGGAGTTTCTTCTACCCAGTATAGTTCTGCTAGAGACCACAACAGGATGCTACAGACGTGGAACGGGATGCACAGGGCAAGACGGTTCCAAATTTAGGAAAAAGTTTGAGTTCTAATACACATTTTAATCCATGCTGATACAGTCAATGTAATCTAACAGATTCAGCTCA